GCTTCGCACGATTCTTACTGCAGCGGCTTGGTCTGCGCCACGTTGGTTTGTGGAGATTGGCCTCGCGGCGGTGAGGCTGCCTACATCACTCTTCCAACAGCCAATGAATGCCACTGAGTGATAAGCCGGAGTATTTGCGGACCATCCATTGGAGCAAAAGTGATGCGCCGGAGCATTTCCGGAGCAGCCAGGGGAGCATAATCAGTCAATTGGTCCCGTTTTACTCCAGTTTCCTTCATCCGGCGCCCACTGAAGGAAAATGGTGCAATACGAATGTAGTTGCTCCAGTACAATCCGGTTTGAGGGAGGCCACCGGAGAAGAGCGGGCGCATCAGTCCCCTATCATTCCCAGCTGGGGCGGCTCCCCCGCGGGGGTCTAGTGGCTAAGATACTCGGCTGCTGACCCGCAGGTCAGGGGATCAAATCCCGGCTGCGGCTGCATTTGCCGATGGAGGTGGAAATGTTGTAGGCCCGTGTGCTCAGGTTTGGGTCAGAACATGTGATTATCACATATCTGGTCAGAACATGTGATTATCAGAAGGACTTTGTGCTTTAAAGTCCGCCACTGACTACAAAAGGCACACAGGTTACTGCGCTTATTCCCTTAAGGCTACGTAGTGGGTGCATAGCAAGTTCGAAAAGATTTCACGCACATAGTATAAGATAGAGGTACAATGGAGCTAATCGGTTCCTAGCTGGTCCTCGCCATACAAAGTGATGCCAAGTGGTGCTGAAAATTGAAAGGAAAGGCAAGAAGGGGTAAATGGTAGGCTTGCTATGAGAAATTCGTAATGAGGAGGTTGGTGCTGGAGCGAGTGTTTCGGCAAATAGACTTGTCTTTTTTGAGACTTTGGCTGATTTCTGCTCCGCTTGTCTGTGTATGCCTCGTGCCCTCTCCTCCAATCCAAACAGAGGAAGAGGAGGGAGAGAGCGCAACGACCAAAGTGGGGGAAGGGAAGGAGGAACAATGAGAAGTCGTCGTGGTGACTTGGGCGAGTCAGAAAAGAAATGGTATTCCGGGAAAACATATCGCTGTTGGGGCAGAAGGCACGAAGCATGCACATACCGGTGCTGCTAGTAGCAGCCTTTAAGAAGACCAGTACACATGTGGAAAAGTCGGCTCCAGCGCTTGCCCCCTTTTTGAGAATTTCTCATAAGTTATGTGGACTTATACAAAGGGATTCAAAGTTGTAGTCGAGTACATCTTAGTCACTATTTACGGTTTCTGTGGTAAAACGTCATGGACTACTTTAAACAAGGAGGGTCCAGCAGTCTTTCTTGGTCGCGCGCCAAGTTTTTCGGTAAGTGGTTGCTTTATCGAAGTTTATCACTTTCTTCGATCGCACCATGCCTGCGAATGGGGGCACTTGGCACCACCGCCACCCACCGGCTTTATACACATTTAAAATGCGCATGAGCAGCTGGCCGTAGCGTCAAGTCTGGCGTGAACTAGTGACTCCGCGCTGTGTGAAGGGAGGCGAGCTGGTGTTGGAGCCAAGCAGCCACACTTCTGTGCGCTGTGTTGCTCGCCAACGCAAGGTGGCGTCATCGCAACGTAGAATTTTTTTGGTTACAATTGGGCCGGTTATGCATCGGCTAAACAGCTTCGCTGTTATAAGCCTTCTTTTTTCACTATCTAATCGTTCATCACAGAACAAAAAACCAAGACGTTAACAGACGATTATATATTCAGAAAAATTTTTTTTTGCAGTAGCTGTGAATAACGGCAACGTTATCAATCGTAACCTGTGATCACGTAACTTTATGCATCTTATATGCTGACGTGCGGATGGTTCTTTTTCGCGTTAAATGTGGCATCTAAGGCTACCAGAATATTTCGCAGCAGGTGGTCTAGTTGACTTGCTTTAGGTTATAACCGAAGAGAACTAGGAGACGTAGTTGAAGTTTTTGTAAACGACATAGCCAAATCAGTAGGTGTCCTGAACAGATACTGGGCTTTGTTACCAAAATTTTAAAAACACCAATTATACTTTTCTTTATTTCATTCTCGCTTGCTCTATTGCGTTTTAATTTAGGGAGTTACGTCGCGGTCTAATCTGAACAGTTTATATCTTATTCAAAGAAAGCTCTTCGATTCATTCATAACTTATCGTACCACGAGCACGTATCTTCGCATTTTTCATCAGAACACATTCTTTACATTCATGAGATATATAACCAGCGTCTATCCGAGCTCATACATTTAGAGTAGAGAAATGACTCTGATCAATTTCTCAATACCTACGCTAACAACGCTCGGAACTACAACTTTAAACATCCCACTTTTTTACACCAATAGCTAGAACAACTTATGGTCAGCAACTTTTCAAACAGCAAATTTGTAATGTAATAAACAGTCATCCCCAAGTACTATTCTGATAATGCGTGCTTCTTCCATGTTATCTTTCAGAAAGAAGTTGAAGATGTACTTCTTGGACCACATATAATATGTGTGCACTTACATATGCCATTTTCTTGTATTTGTATGCATGAAGTGTTATATATGTACCCACTTTTCTGATTATTAAATGCGAAGCATTTCTTAGTGAACTTCGACGACTTTGCGCGTATCTATCTATCTATCTATCTATCTATCTATCTATCTATCTATCTATCTATCTATCTATCTATCTATCTATCTATCTATCTATCTATCTATCTATCTATCTATCTATCTATCTATCTATCTATCTATCTATCTATCTATCTATCTATCTATCTATCTATCTATCTATCTATCTATCTATCTATCTATCTATCTATCTATCTATCTATCTATCTATCTATCTATCTATCTATCTATCTATCTATCTATCTATCTATCTATCTATCTATCTATCTATCTATCTATCTATCTGCCTACGTTTGGGTGTTCTCGTGGTTACCCCCTAAACTTGGCGTGAACCAAAATTAGCATGAAAGGGTAAGATGATTTGACGAATATGGCACGCAAGTCGAGACAAATAATTTCACAATTTTTTTGCGTACGTCATCAAATACTTCCCACCAAAGAGTGGCAGATACCACGGCAGGGTATGTGCCGCTGGTATGCGGGTGTGTGCCACAGTTGATTGTTGCCTATTATCTACCCAGAAACGACGACAAAACACATGTGCAATTTTAACGTGCGAGCGTTAAAAATACCCGACATCTGTAGCGTAGAACCGATGAATACAAAGAATAAATGTCAGGGTCCTGGCTGTAATCAAAGTTAAGGATTGTGAGTGTCAATGAAGCATTTTACCACAGAGCTACGCAAGGTCTGGGAACTAATTTTCAAATAGACGCCTATTTATTTGTGGGGTTTAACGCCTTTAAAACCACCAAATGAATATGACAGACGCCATAGAAGAGAACTCCAGAAATTTTGACCACCTGGGGCTCTTTAACGTGCGCCCAAATCTGAGCACACGGGCTTACATAATTTTCGCCTCGATCTGAAATGCAGCCTGCGCAGCCGGGACTCCATGCGTATCGCGACCTGCGGGTCATCAACCGAGTACCTTAGTCGCTAGACCACCAAGGTGGGGCATCAAATAGACGCTATTCTTCGTGAAACGTGAATAGTGGTTGCAGTGCTGCCTACCCAATTTTCTAAACATTACATATGTACTTATTTGATACAGCCGTCACGTGGAATTATCGTCATTGTGGTTAGTTGCCACGCGTTGAAGTTCATTTTTGTAGCAGTGTCCAGGGCCAGCATCCTGACGGGCATCAGCGCTTCATATCAGCTTCAGGTGTTGATAATACGCATGTTCCAGTTGGCATCGTTACGCAAGTGCGAACAACTGGTTATATAAACATCTGCCACTCTTAACTTATGTCTGTGCGTGCAACATTTGTAAATTCATCTGCAAGTCTTCAACATGTGTCAACACTTGTACATATACTTAGCGTCATTTCATGACGTGTCGCTCAATAAAAAAATTGCAACACGGTAACCTTTCCTCCGCATCCTTCGCATAACGTCGATTGAGAAGTGTACGTGGTATCTGCCGAATTTTTTTGTTTTTTTTGGTGTCCATGCCTTAATCTGTGCTGCGAAGCTTTAGTTAAATGCGAGTCTTCCCCAACCAGTTTAAACCAAGACCCTTTTTCTGCGTGACGGCGGCAGCCCGAACCATCAAATACGAAACTGCATATAAAATGGTCGGAATCGTTGCGAGCGCGACGGGTAGGCCTAGCATGGTGGTCTCTTCAGCCTTTGCGTAAGTACAACGAACAAAGTCCTATATGGGGCTCCTTTTTGCTACTTGTATTTGCTTGCTTTTGACAACCACGCTTCCTTCGACTACCTCACCAAACATTGATTACGATAATGATCCAAACGCGCAAGGCACCTACCCACTCATGGGGAACGATCAACAGTCGGTAGAATAAATTATGATCAATATATTATTAATCAGTAGTACAGCGTGTGATGTCAGTTGAAATGAATAGTTGTTATAGAATATTTACTTCTCTAACAAAAAGTTAACCATTCAAAAACTGTGTCAAAGAAAATACTATAAAAAGTATCGCAGCTATACGCGGCGACAACTTTTCTTGGCAGTGTAGGGAAGGAAAGCTACGGGGGTGGAGCTTCCACACATGTAGCACTACGCGAAGTAGTTCGTTGTGGCACGCGTCTCATAATGCCGCAGAAGTTTACGAGGGCGCACTATCAGAGCTTCGTGCAGATGCAGACGCCGCTTAGCGTTTGAGGTTCACGTAAAAAGGCGGGACATTCTCTCGCGTTCAAAAGCCCGAATTCACAACGACTAAATAGCAACCAATATGAATATCTTAATAGTGTTAGCCGAGTCTTGGGCCAAATTGCCCATGTTAAAATAGAGGGGGAACTTTTATCTTTCACGTTGAAAGTACATTAACAGACGGTAGAATGTGCGGCATTTGGCTCTTTAGCCTTCGCTTCAATGCCCAGAAACGTTGTCGGCGAGTGAAAGCGCTAACTCGCGTAAGGCTTGGTTACGTTTCAGAAGCTGGAACGTGGTCTCAAGTATTAGGTTCTCTTGTCCACCATCCGTACAGAATGCAGGGGAAGTTGTAAACGTGTGCCGGCTCATGAAGATGATGCTGATTTTCTATCTACGTCCCGTAAGGATAAAAGCTCAGCTGTAATACAATTTTGAAAGCTGTCTATTTTTCGCGAAATTGGGAAATGTGCCTCTATGTTACAGCCGCTCGTATAAGGCGTATTACAAGGCACTTGAACATTGGTCATCGCCACTGAAGTTCCTTTACAGTATTATGGTTCGTAATTGCCAGCGGCTAAGAGCTCACGCGACATTTATATAATTGTAAAATCGCCCACGTCATGGAAGGTTTGTACATAAGACATGTCCTCTAGAATATGAAGGCATATGATTGTCCTCGTAAGGCTCAGAGCGTAGTCGGAGTGAACGGGTAGAACGAAAAAGTTTACGAATATTTCTTCAGCTACATCAACTACATAAAATACACACAGCTCTGTCTCAAGCCACTGTCCCTGATTTGACGCCTTAGTTCTTCTTTTGCGGAAGTTGCGAGCACTCTTGGGAACAAGGCCGTCCCTGTGAACGAGGGCCACTCTCGTCCCGTTTCTTCAGGGGCTCCCGCACAATGCGTCGCATAAGAGGCTGTGTGGCACGCACATTGCACTCAATTGGACCATCGGAAGACTTCTGCGGATGGACTTTTTCCTCGTACGACATCAGCGTGCGGAAAGCTGCCAACTGCTCGGGTGACACTACGATGGGGTGCTTGTAGACAATCCATGTGACGTTCTCGTACCACGGTGGTGTCGTCAGCGAGCCTTCGTACGTCCAGTAGCTACTGCCGGTTGCAATTTGCGAGGAGATGTCTAGAGGCTTCTGCAGTACCCACTTCATGCCCTTGTGCTTGATGTGCGGGATGCAGTCGACGACGCTCTGAAGCAGCGGGTTAGCTGCACCTTCTTCCAAGAACAGAGCCACCACGACGAGACCCTCTTCAGATGAAGCTGCCTCCACGAATGACTTGTACTTGTCGGCGTTGAAATGGACCCAGTGCAGTTCACCGGCATACTGCTTCCCGTCGACACGGTGCTCGCTGCCGGTGTTGTTGGTCTTGCCCCAGTGGGCATGAAACCGATCCAGTTGGTAGTGGTGTTGCAGAGGTCCCCCGCGAAGGTTTGGTTCCGCCACCTTGACGCTCACTTCCCATGTCTCACCGGTGTTGGAGATGCTCGTAGACAGTAGGCCAGTATCGTCCCACTGCAACGGGTTGTCCCTCAAATAGGGATCCGGTGTGACGTCTTTTGTCACAATATTGACCGGTGACTGCTTGTTTCCAATGCGCTTAGTGCTCTTTTCCGTACTCTTCCCAAAATAGCACTTAGGGACGCAGTCAAACAGCTTGTTTACGGAGGACATGCCTGTAGAAGGACGAATGTGCTTGAAAAATTCGCAACGAATATCAGAACAGGAAAGAACCTTGCCTTTGGGGACGGTTTGGTAAACGAGCTTGACGCGGCCGGAAAAACATCTGTCACGAAGTAACGATGAGGGTGCTGATTCTCTCGTTGATGTAGCTTACCCACTAAGGGGAAGAAAAGTGATCGGCAGACAGTGTCATAAAAAAAATTCAATGGGTTGTTGTTGTTACCCAGATACGTAGGCATTCTGTTGAACCTCGTCTTCTTCTCAACCGCCATTCAAAAAAAAAAGGAATAGCCACTATTTGGGCAGCAATTAAGAAAAGAACTCTGCACACTTACGGCTATCAATTTATGTATCATTACTTTATTTAGGGTCTTTAAAACATCAGCCAGAGGTGTTTAGTACTAATACGTATATATTGAACTCGAATATTTGGGTGACCTCTCACAAAAGTATCATCATCATAAACAAGCTAGTGCCGCAGAAACAGGGTAAATCCCATTACACAAAGCTTACACTGAAAGGATGAAGACGACAGTTTGGCTAACCAATGACTGCGAAGCGGAGGCGGCGAGCCAAACAACCCTACTACGTACAACGAGAGAATACTAAAAAACGGGAAAGGCAATGTCAGCTACGAGAGCATGTCAGCTACGAAGCAATGGAAGCCTTACGCCAATGGTGGTTCCCTTGTCGTGTCCTTGATCGTCTGTGGTTTAACTACAGGCTTTCCGAGCTGCTAATGAGCGTGGAAACCCAAGATGACTCTATGCTAGTGCATGAAGCCAAGCAACGCCCGAAGGACGCTGTTGTCGGTTGACGCTCACCCGTTGTACACGTTTCGGGTAATGCGCACGCAAAAATAATGGAAAGTCATTTCGTAGCCCGGATGTGGACGAGGAAAAATAAGAAGAGGCACCGGATACATGTTCTTGGTGGTAGCCTGAAACGATGCGTACGCTACATGCAGCCTGCTGCAGACGCAGAGCCTTGCGCACACTTAAAATTGTACGATAACAAAATTACTGCGCTGGCGCGAAATACTGTGGTGACAGCGGCAGAGTCACGCCTTTCTCTCTTCTCACCTCCTCACCTATCGAATTGTCTCCCGAACAGTTCACAGCATTCCGCAAGCTGTTGTCGCGCGAGGAGAGGGTCGATCCTCAGAAGTCGTGCGACGGTCCCATTGAGTGCAAGGTATGAGCCACGTAACCTTTCAATCAATGAATTTCGTGGCAGCCACATACGAGACCAGAGTACCTATGATATATAGCGGTGGCCTTGTTCGCAATAGCCTTCGCGATTCACGGAAAATAGGAACCAGGGCGTCAAACCAGAGCTCGTGGGTTGAGAGGCAGTTGTGTGCCATTTGTGAAACCTATATAGTTTGACAAAAAAATGTAAACATCTCTTTTTACTTGTTTACTCCAAGCAACTGTTTAAGCCTATGAGGACGTGTCATAAATAAAATAAAAATGAAGGCAGCTTCGCACTAGTTGTGCCCAAGTGAAAGCTGGACAGCCTCCTTTGTTTCTCTTCAGATTTTTTTTCTTTCGCGAGCCCTTTTCTTTCTTTGCTTGTTTTTCAGATCAGATCTCGCTCAACTCTAAAAACACTGGTTAAAGTCAACGAAGCGCCTGTAGTGAGGGAAGCGACTTCCTTGTGTCTATCGTCTCAGCGCAGAGTGAGCACTGAGAAAGCACCACGGCTGTGTGTCGCCTAATGATGTCAATCGGCACAGGCTGCGTCTCAGTGGTTTGGACTCTACATTTATGAGCAAAGTTCGCAGTTGCTACAAATTATGACATGCTAACTATGCGTACTTCAAGACAACTACGAAAATATAATGGCACATTTGAAGCGTTCACCCACGATTACAATGTTCTGTAGTTCTGAATTTGAAGCATGTAAATGTTCGAACTTCAATGTTGTGAATTTGAAGCATGTCTGTTTTGCTTCTTACATTTCCGATATATAAACTGGCAGACAGTTACCTGCATGCACACATGGATGACGGTATGTTTCGCCAGTGCATGGGGAATGTTACTCATGGTGTCTGCGCTGTGGACACTGCATTGTTTGGCGGGCCTGCGAGTTGTAGCACTGTTGCGTTGAGCTTCTGCTTAGGCTGCCAGTTTGGCAGCAGGATTAGGCAAAGTACTTTCTTCATATGCGTCTCCTGTAACTTTGAAAATGTTACCGAGACCATTTTCATTTTGTAAAACCGAACGCCGAGAGCAGCTTGGCATTAGCCGACAACGCTTTCTGCAGAGATAGAGAAAAGCTTATTTATGGAGGCCGAAAGAAATGTCCTAGTCGGGGCGAGCCCTTAGTTCAGGCCCCCCCCCCCCTTGGCTCACGCTAAGCGGAGCGTCCGATGGATCAGCCGAAAGTGCTCCTGCAGCTCTGAGCTCGTCGGCGCTGTATTCCTAGAAGGATGTCAAGGTGAAGGAATAGAATGGTTGCCCGGTGGCTGTGGACATTCCCAAGTGCACTGATACACCGTGGTATTTGCTCCACAATAGGGATAGCATGAGGGATATTCAATGGGGTGGAAGACAAGGATGTAAAGGCAGGGGGATTGATTAGTCTGAAGCTGCCTACAGGCAACATCCTCTGGGTTGAGTGATTTGACTGGTGGTGGTAAGTACATATGGCTTTGTCGGCAATGCTTTAGCGTTTCAGTGTAGTTTAGTGGATCTGTTGGTGTCCTCCGGGGTAAAACAGTTCTGATGGCGCCCGCGGTTCGTAAGCTCTTGAGGTGCCACTTTGCGGGTTCATGGTCATGGAGTGAGACGTGTCCAGGTGTCTGGACGATACGCACCTTATGTAACAAAGAAAGGTATATTCATGTCGGGGTACGGTGTTTGTAGAGTGTGATCATTCTTTTCATTATGTTCTGACTGGTTGTTTCGTTTGTATATCGATAACCACGGGGATTTGTTTGTATGGTGCTGGTATCTGCGAAGCGTGTATGACAGCAAGGGCGACATAGAAGCCTGGCCTACCGTGCCACTGTTCCCGGTGTTATGCGTAGCCAATGCCGTTACATATTTAATACTGTCCACTACAAGACACCTACATTGTCCATTTCTCTGGATATCAGGCCACATCAATGTAGAGGACTGGTGCGCTACATGTGCACCAGTCCTACGACTAGCCTTAGACCTACCTACGACTAGCATTACGACTAGCATTAGACCTAGACATTACGACTACGACTAGCATTAGACCTAGACCTACAACTAGCATTAGAGTTTGAGCTCTTGCCTGTCTCCGGCTTTTGTGCAGAAGATTGCAATGACGCGTCAAAAGCTCAGAAAACTTTAAATTTTTCATGCCTATTTTTATGCATCACTTCGTTGCGACTTCCTTTGGGGGACGCGGCCGCTGCTCATCTTCGCTTGCATTATCCCTAGCAGCATGGTAGGATTGGAGACGAATTTATTCCTCTCTTCTGCAATAAAGAAACGATCACAGTTCTTCGACTGGTTAAAATGTCAATAGGGGCGGGTACCTACGAAGCTTGCTCACATTGTATGAAAATTAAAAATTAAGCATGACAACGTTCACAACTAGAAAATGCTGAGGCCCGTGCGATCAGATTTGGGTGCACGTTAAAGAACCCAAGGTGGTGGAAATTTCTGAAGCCCTCCACTACAGCGTCTCTCATAATCACATGGTGGTTTTGGAACGCTAAACCGCACATGTCCTTCAATCAACGTTCACCTCCAGCTAACTTTTCATAGTTCATAAAGAAAATAACAAAAACCTTTACATATTTTTCTCAAGAAATCGCAACCATGCTGTCTCGCTACGGCAAGTAACAGTTTAGTCTACGTCGGAAGCCGTGGTTCACTTCATGCAAACGGTGACAGGCAGGGCCTGATTCGGTCCAGAAATAATGAGAAAAAGTACGGATATCAATAAATCTATTTCTTCCAGCGATAATAAAACGCGCAATACCCGTACATATCTCTAGAAGGTGTTTTGCGGTTCTGGAAATATGCCTGGCCACACAGCTGAAAGTCCTTTCTGATGTGACGTGGCCCGTGTCCTTAAGTCGGTGACCGCACTTGCCCCAAGCATTTCCCCGCGCTTCATTTTCTTCCAGCGCCGCCACGGCCCGCTGAACTGGCTTGGTGACTCGAGCTGGCCTGTGTACTGCTGGTTCTCCTTGCTGGAAGCACTTCGTCTTTGAACGGTGGTGTAACCTGGTGTGGGTGGCATTCCTGGGACAGAACCTCTGCCTGTACTTCGGGCAGCTCGACATTTTTGGTCTCGGGGAGCCAGCGGATGGCCAGCTCGCAGGTCAGCAGTCCCACGGACATGATGAGGAGCGCCGAGGTTGCGTCCGCGACACGCGCGACGTCCACCAGGAACTGGGCCATGCCTTGACCGAGGCATCCAGCTGCGACCACCACGTGCACAGCGGTGGCCCTGACAGCACTCGGGAAGCACTCGTACGCGTGCAACTTGGCCACCAGCAAACACAGCTGCACCATGGCTAAGAGCAAGCCCATGACCTGCTGGACGAACGCGAGCCAACGCTTTTTAGCAAACAGTCAATCGATAAACTAAGCGTACAATCACGTAAGCGCGCAAGCAAGCAATGAATGACTAGGTTACTTGATCATTTAATAAATAATTTACTCGATGATTATTTCCTCTTCAATAACTGGAAACATCTCTATTGAGCTTGCCATTGATTTTGAACCTCATGGTGGCTAGCAGCGGAATTTGTATTTCATTTAGTAAATATACTAGCAGCCGTACTTACATCGCAATACGCACGGAAACAATGTACACGTATTTCAATATCTCGATTAATGACCGGTTCATTCGTAAGGCGCCAAAATGCTTATATAATTTTGAAGGACACCGTACAGAAGGGCTCCGACAGTTTCGATCACCTGGGGTATTTACCTGTTAGCCAAACTTAAGTCCACATCGCCCTAGCAAATTTAACTCCATCGAAACTACGTTTTGAAATGTTTTTGAAAAGTTGAGCACCATAACATCTGGAGCAATGCAAATGTTACGGTTCGTATTTTATTTACATCGGAACATTTTCTATTCCAAGATAACTGTAAAGTATGTTTTAATTTGGTTTCAAGTTGGTGAAAGGTAAGCACAATATGTATAATGTCATTTTCTTTAAGAGTGAAGATCTGCCGGGGACAATTGTGACAACGTTCCTTCAGCAAATGACGTCTCGTACATGCAGTGGCTGACTTGAGATAAGTGATAGACAACATCAGCCGGCAGAGTGGGAGAGCAGTGTCGAAGAATGTATTACGCTTAACTCAAAGATAACCTTGATATTGGCTTGCAAGAAAGCAAGAGTTGGTTACCAAAATCATCTAAGATCAGGGCAAGAGTGTGCTTGCCGAGGTCATGTTTTCAGAGACATCATCTTTAGGAGGAAAGCGATGCGCAACGCATAACGAAAGCATGGATTCAACAATTATAATATAGAACCATGATCCTGAAAATGCGTAAAAGAATCATTACCATGAAATGAAATGAATAAAAGAGAATGAAAACTTTCTGGTGAGGCCGCAATCAAACCATAGTTTCAGATATAGTGTTTCACACATTTAAGCTAACCACAATCGCACAGTGCTGAAAAGAAATTGCAGAGGCCGTGCCAGGACAAGCAGGTGAAAGAGAAGGAAAAAGACGGCTATTATGTAGCATCAATAAAATACCGAAGGCACATTCCTTTGTTCACATTTACATGACATATATATCTTCAAGGTGTTGTTGCGACTAGGAACCGGGTACTTCAGTTTCAAAGCCATCTCAAACAGCCGAGGGACCTCATGCAGTGTAGGGCCGCGTTATTCAGGACGCTTGTTTTTCGAAAACAACTGTATTTACAAATATGCAGCGAGAATGACACGTGAGCATTTTGCCCTGGTCTTCAAGGCTGCGTCCTTCTGCCTCGGTGGTGGCCGATTACAAGATGGCACGATAGGGAACAATTCAATGGGCACCGGAGCAGCTTGTGAACACACCGCTGAACTAGCGCTGGTGTCATTGCCTGAGCTGCACCTCTTCCGCCAAAGCATCTTTTCCACGGAGATCCCGAAGCAGGGAAAGCCAGTAAACTAAGCCTACGTTGACATAAATACGGTCGAACGGATACATCGAACAACGCGTTCGGCATTATTCACGCGTGCATACAGCCACCACGAATAGCCGCCGCGCACCTATGACCGTTTTTATTACTTTTTCTTTTTCAAGGAATACTGGTTTGGTCACAGCAGTGTGGACGCTTACGGCTCACAATTTTCGCGGTGTTATGAAATCAGGACGCTTCTAGGAGTTGGCAATGCAATCAAATATTTCTAAGAAAACAACCATTGAAGATTGTTATGTGGCATTTGTTGTCATTGTCAGAATAATGAAGTCAACATACTCTGAGTAAGCTATGTGTCTTCTAAAACTATTTTTTTTAATCTGATGAAAAGGCAGAACGGAACAGCACCATCGTATTTGATGGTATATCTCAGTTCTTAAACGGCCTCAGCATCACTGCACACATTATTATTATGATACAGGTAAGGAGAATAGCATATTTACGCGAAAGTGTATAGAGGTGTGAATATTCTTAAGATGACTGATATTATTACTGCGAAATGTGTCTAATTAACATATGATGAGTATTGCATTTGCTTAATAGTTATGAGCTTAGGTTAAACTCCAGAAAGTACGGGGACCTTGCGGTCCCTCGTGGTCCAATTATAGTATTGACAGTGCATTTTCGGTGTGTATTGAAGATATAGTATGCTGTGCCGCATGACAAGCTTTTAGCTTCTGCAAAATCCTGCAGCGAAAAGAATGGTCATGTTCCCCTATTGAACGGCGCAGGCGTTAAAGTTGGCTCTTTTATATCGTTTTCAGTGTTTCATCTCAGTCTGTCATGTTTGCTGAAAAATGCCAACTCGAATGACGGGGACATTCCACATGTCCCTGGCGCCATTTTATTGAGTTCAATAAGAACTTGACCAATGTTTTAAAAAAGAAGAAGGGGGGCTCATTGGTTGCTAAGTAGGTTGATGATTTTTTGTTAAATGCACAGGGAGACCTGATATCCGCTTAATGTACTCTATACGTATTTCAAAGAATAAGACGAGGGCCCATTTCAAGACGAAATTGCTGCAAGAAGCTTCTTTGAAATTTGAAGCTTTGATGATCGCGTAGAACGAAGAACACTTTTGCTTGTTTTTATTGTCAGGGTTTCAGACGGAATTGTTTTCATACACATCCAACGATTGCCAAAAAGGACGTGGCTTCTCCGTGCATGCAGTCAGCGTTGAAAAAGTGGTGCCCACGTGGCATGCGACTTGGTTTTGTTATTTAGGTGTGCTGATTAGAGGTTGTTGGCTCCCGTCTATACGGTATTACGTCTGTTGCCTAGACACTCCTATAGAAATTGAGAAGTGAAACACATGATGTGACGACTGCTACTCTGTCCTCAAGGATTAAACCACAATGCTGTGCGATATATTTGTAAGCTCTCACATAATCTCTGGAAAGTCGCGTGCAAGAAAGGGATTCCGCACAGTCCTCTCAGCAGACCGAAAAAATCAGGAAGGGTCGGTAATGCATTGTGATAGGGCAAAACACGGCTGCGAGAAGCAGGAGAGGGCACTTGTGAAATGTTTCACGTACACCGTACACTCCACACTCATGTCCTGGAGAACTTTACATTTCGGTCGAAACAAGAGGTGTCTTGAAGAGCGAGTAAAGCATGATGTTTAAAAATTATGATTAAAGACGACAAGGGCGCGCATATAGTTGGGCATACACCCTTGGGGCAATATGAGGTACGTTTTTTTTCTGACGACGATTTTTGGTAGAAGCACGAGACAGCACACGGCGTTTTAGGGGTTCTTTTCATTGAAAAGGATGAGTGCCCCTAGCTACCTTTGTTTAGCGATAAAATTCAGTTTATCAATTGTAGGCTGCGAGAAAAGTGTGCTCTCGTTATGTGCAGTGTGCTTAGCTGTTCTTAATTCACGTAATAATACAAGTTGTATATGTTCCAACACTAACCGCTGCGAGTCTCAGTTCGGGATATGTTAGTGCGAGTGTGTGTACTGTGCCACGTGCTTCTGCCTATATAATACTCCAAAGTAGTTTACTTTTCTTTGTAATAGTGCTTATGAAGGCATGTGCATTAAAAAAGCGTAAGTGATGGTTGGGCGTAGAAAAATGAAATTATCATAGAAGCTGGGCACCATGTAGAGTGCTTTATTAGTTTGTTTTGTTTCAAGTCATGCCCTACGCCTTTTTTGCAGCACGCTTTGTGTTTTCAATCCTTCTGCATATCATGTACGTGTTGCTTCGGTGCGCAATAGTCGCTGTTGCAGCAGTCTCATTGCGGTCGTCTTCATAATAGTTATCCCTTTGGGCTGCTTGAAATGTTTCATTTATTTAAATCATTGGACAACATGCTACGCAATGTTAGCGATGTATCTGTCGACCGGGAGAGCACTGTCACTAGAGCTATTAGTGCCTTATACACAATGAGTTATAGTGAAGGAGGGCTACCGTAGTCCCATACGGCATTCGCGCATACGTTTCCGTAACTTGCTAAACCATTATACTGCAATGTTTGGAACCTCTGCTTCTTTATATTCCGTATATCGGTGACGTGTTGCTTGAGTAAACAACACTCGCTAGTGCAGTGCTGCCCAGCTTGTTTGCTGCCGTTTTCGTACTAGTTTTTCTTTTTGGGCCGATTAGTATGCTTTCATTCAGTACTGTAACAAATTGCTGTACAAGACGAGGAGCGCATTATCATCATCGGGGGATTATACCAGCATTCGTAATAAAGAAGAGCTCATTCGGGTGGGCTTCGCCATGGGCACGGTGGTTCGTCCTTTCCTCAACACAGTACAATCATTGTCACCTTGATGAGCTCTCGCTGCTTTGAAATACAGTGATATAAAACAGTTATGGACGATCTTCCCGAAGGGAAGCCTGATAGGACGCGAAGCAGCAGCGGTGCGAACCGACGCGATCTGCGTTTTACAGAGAAAGATGTAATGAGATTACAAAGTTGGTCACGCGCAGCTGTCCACCGCCGCCGGTGTCCTTAACCACATCGCGCGAAATTAGGGAAAAAAAACCTGGTGGGGCTCGAACCGCCGCAGCTGGGTTCCAGCCCAGTATTCTACCACTGAGCCACACTGACGCTTGGGACTTGTTGGCAAACTTGCCTTAGGCAGGCTTGATGTCAGGAAATCAATCGCGTTAATAGGACCTATAAAGCGTCTTAAAACAGCAGAAGAACAACCCGTAATCGCACAATGTGAATAGTGTAACGAGTGGGTCATCCAATGCTTCAGCTTATTACAAAAGCTTATTGTTGTTCCCCTATTAAACTGTGGCACATACCCACTTCAACCATAATTCCTCATCGTCGTCAGCCATTGAATGAATTGGCACAAAATTCCTTGCAAGTGTTTAGCGGATACCATGCTTCTCAGAAAAAATGACAAAAAATAGCATGGTGAATACTGGCCTACTACCTAAAAATTTATTATGAATGCTCCAGTGGGTGTCAAGCAAGTGTGCTAGTTTCCCAATGAGTGTTTTGAAAGGCTCTGAATTGATTGATTGATTTGTGGCGTTTAACGTTCCAAAACCACCATTTGATTATGAGAGACGCCGTAGTGGAGGACTCCGCAAATTTTGACCACCTGGGGTTCTTTGACGTGCACCCAAATCTGAGTACACGGGCCTACAACATTTCCGCCTCCATCGGAAATGCAGCCACCACAGCCGGGATTTGATCCTGCGACCGGCTGGTCAGCAGCCGAGTACCTTAGCCACTAGACCACCGTTGCGAGGCGAAAGGCTCTGAAAGGCCGCTCTTGAAGCTTTCGCTGTGACTGTGATGCACCTTCCGCTCAGGCCAGGCGTTTTTTTTTTTACTTGCGCCTCGTCGGTGTCGCTGGTCTTTCGCTGCTGACGCTTGCGTTCGGCTTCCCTGGCTCGCACCTCGTCAGCGTTGCACGTGCGGCGTCACCATTCGCGAACGAGATCGGCTCTGCTAACCCTCGCAACCTGGGTGACAGTCGGGTTACGCCAAATCGCTTCAGCGCCTGTTTCATCAGGCGAAGGAGCTTCGCTTTTTGGCGTCCTCTTCATCGCAAATCAACGAGCCGAGATAGCGTTAACGCCATGTGCGCGTTAACGTTGCGGGCGATAAAGTGGGTGGAGCGAAAGAGAGGTGACAAGCTGTGAGCGCGCGGCAGGCGAGGGAGAGAGTGATGTCACCGCGCAACACGAGATAAGGCGTGACGTACCTGGCACCGCCCCAACGCCCGTCTTGAGGGGGGGGGGGGCGTGGTGTGGTGCGTTCGCATGGAGACACGGACGGACAGCGTTACACATGCTAGTCAAAGGGCTGCTTCTCGTCTAAAATAGGGAGAGAGTAAAGGCAGGGGTTCACCTCACCTCGGTGACAAGCGGGCTTTCGTAGTAGTGCGTGGCACCCGCAGCGACACCAACCGTTGACGCCACCATGAGGGTCATGTGGAGGCTCGTGCGGCGGGGCCACCTGACGACCAGCGGGTAGCCCGTGGCGTAGACGGGCACCAGCAGAAGGAGCATGGCAACAAGCGGCGACGTCCTGGTTGCCGCGTTTGGCCGCACGAGGAGGATTGAGTACTCCGCGAAGAAGCACCAGAACCAGAGTACCGACAGCGCCACTGTGCGAGTGCGCAGTTCGGGAAGCAGCAGCACGTCGGATAGTTGGAACGGCATGCCTGCCTGTAACGCGTGGGGGTTGGGTATATTGGTAAAGGGCACGTGAGATGAATAAGCGTTGTCGACGAAAGAACCTTCCTAATATTGTGATGTAACAGTAAAGGCAACCTTTATTAGGCCCGGAAGACACGATGAAGCGACCACGCCCAAGGCACAGAACTCAGACAAGCCAAATCCCCACAGCAGAAGAAGACGACGACCACTCATGATGATGAATATGTGTAAAGATAGATGATGTGCTTAATGAATGCCTACACTAACTTCCCCCCCACGTGAAAGCGGTCATCCTGACCGCAGTTCTTGGCCGCATTTTAAAGCGAAGATGAACGCCGTGTGAAAGGCTTCATGCGGGATACGTGGACTATTTCTGCTGCCCTGTAGCGGCGGTCCGTCGGAAGAAGAACGGGTGCCACGCGATAATTCACAGGAGACGTTTGCTCCAAGACAGTGTAGGGGCCAATAAAACGTAATTGAAACTTCTCGCACAGTCCGGGAGTGCGAATGGGTGTAAGAAGGAGGACTTCGTCGCCGGGGCTGAAAGACACGGCACGATGGGAGGCATCATATTCAAGCTTGCGATCCTGTTGCTTGGCTGCAGTGTTGACGCGAGCCAGCTGGCGGCAATGAAGTAGACGAGACACGTATTCTTCACTTGAAGATGAACATGGTTTGACAGGCGCAGAGAAGAACGAAACATCGAGGAAAGAAGAGGGGAAGCGACCGTGGACGAGGTAGAACGGCGAGTAACCGGTTGTGCGCTGTACAGAGGTATTATACGCAAAAGTGACAAATGGCAAAATGGTGTCCCAGTTTCTGTGGTCGGGTTCGATATACATCGCAATCATGTCTGACAGTGTACGATGGAAGCGCTCAGTCAGGCCGTTCGTCTGAGGATGGTAACTGGAGCTTGTTTTGTGTGTAGTGCCGGCTGCCTTGAGCACTTCTTTGACGAGTGCTGAAAGAAATACTCTTCCACGGTCGCTCAGGATTACACGAGGAGCTCCGTGTCGAAGGATTATTGCTCGAAGGATGAAGTCGGCCACTTCCGAAGCTGATGCAGAAGGCACGGGAGCTGTTTCGGCGTAGCGGGTCAGGTGGTCGACAGCTGTAACTATCCAACGATTGCCCGTGACAGTCATAGGAAGCGGGCCATACAGGTCAATGCCAACTACCTCGAATGGTTGCAGGGGACACGGGAGCGGTTGTAATTGTCCACTTCGAGTTGATGTAGGTAGCTTGCGACGCTGACAAAGGGCGCATGAGGCAACGTACTTCGCGACACAGGTGGACAAGCCCGGCCAGTAGTAGTGACATCTTATGCGGTCATACGTTTTCTGGAAGCCCATGTGTCCAGCAGACATGTCGTCGTGATATGTCTTGAGGACTTGAGCCCGAAGAGAGCGAGGTAGAACGGGCACCCAGCGTTGACCATCAGGGTGGTAGATATGACGGTACAGGACGTGGTTGTTGAGCTTGAATTGCGTCAGCTGTCGGCGAAGACGGGCGTTAGGGGGCCGGCAAGTCCCGTCAAGACGGTCCATGATGCGGCGACAGTAAGGGTCAGCACGTTGGTGAGATAAGAACAAACCACACTCGCTTGGAGAAGTTGGGTCCAAATTAGTTAATGACGAAACATGTAGGGAAGAGACGGCCGAAAGCTTCTCGTGTGCAGCAGTGGCGGGTTTGTTAAGCGGCTCCGAAGAGAGCGGGCAACGCGAAAGGGCGTCGGCGTCTTGATGCTTGTTTCCCGACTTGTATGTGATAGTGAAGTCGTATTCTTGTAAGCGAAGAATCCAGCGACCAAGGCGGCCGGACAAGTTCTTGATTGTCGAGAGCCAGCACAAGGCGTGATGGTCCGTAACCACAGTAAAGTGGCGGCCGTGGAGATAAGGTCGAAACTTTTGTATCGACCATACGACCGCTAGGCACTCCTGTTCGGTGATGGTATAATTCTTTTCAGCAGGGGTCAGTGCACGGCTCGCGTATGCGACGACTTTCTCACGTGAAGATTTGTCTCGCTGTAGAAGAATTCCACCAATGCCTCGACCACTAGCGTCTGTATGCAGGAGCGTAGGCGCGGTTTCGTCGAAATGGCAGAGGACTGGTTCGGATGTGAGTGCACACTTCAGTTGGGCAAACGCCGCTTCACATTCAGGAGACCACACAAAGGCGACGCCTGATCCGAGCAACTTGTGCAATGGTGAAGCTATTGAGGCGAAGTCTCGAATGAATCGGCGAAAATAAGAAGCGAGGCCGAGGAAACTGTGCAAATCTTTGGCTTTTTCAGGACGCGGGAAGTGTTGGACAGCGGAAATCTTGTCAGGATCAGGACGAATACCGTCCTTGCTTACGATGTGACCTAACACTTTAATCGTCTTGCTCGCAAAACGGCACTTCTTGGTGTTCAGCTGAAGGCCTGCGTTTGCAAGGCACGTAAGAACTTCGTCCAGTCGTTGCAAGTGCTGAGGGAAGGTTGACGAGAAAATAACGATATCGTCTAAATAGCACAAGCAAGTCTTCCACTTCAAGCCTCGTAAAACTGTGTCGATAATCCGCTCGAATGTTGCTGGAGCATCGCAAAGGCCGAATGGCATGACGTTGAATTCATACAGCCCATCTGGTGTTGAAAACGCTGTCTTTTGTTTGTCATCCTCGTGCATGGGTATTTGCCAGTAACCTGAACGCAGGTCTAGGCTTGAAAAGTACTCAGCACCTTGCAGTGAATCCAAAGCATCGTCTATGCGCAGCATGGGGTAAACATCCTTGTGGGTAACCTTATTAAGTGCTCTGTAGTCCACGCAAAACCACACGGAGCCATCTTTTTTCCTTACTAAAACAACAGGGGATGACCAAGGACTCGCGGAGGGACGTATAATGTTCCGTTGCAGCATATCGGCTACATTTTGTTCAATGATTTCACGCTCGGATGAAGAGACGCGATATGGTCGACGGCGTACGATGGAAGTGCCATCGGTCTGGATACGATGCCTAATAATGGACGTCTGTCCCAGAGATGAGGAATGGGCATCAAACAATCTCCTATGCTTTTGTAGTAAGGCAAGCAACTCACCTGTCTGTGAAGAGGTCAGTTCTGGACTAATAGTCGCAGCAAGAACAGAAACGCTTGATGAACGTCCAATAGAAGGAAGGTCAGAACACGCTGGCATAAGGGAGACAACAGAGACAGGTTAAGATTCAGAAACGCAAGCCATTGTGGTGCCTTTAGGAATGAGAATTTTCTCAGAAGTCTGGTTTGTAGCGCAGAGAAGTCCGGAGCCATTGTGGAATCGCGCTAGACCTGAAGCAAAGGCTATACCTCTTGCGAGACAGCGTGCAGATGGTTGCACAAACACGTCACCAGAGTCGATCACATTAGAAGTGATGGCAACTATCCGCTGATGACCAGGTGGTAGCTCGGTCTCTTCAGCAGCGAGCAAGCGAACGGGCTTGTCATCCGCATACAGGGCATAGTCAGTTTCCATCATATGAACAACATTTTCTTTACAGCAAATGGAAGCGTTCGCCGTAGACAGAAAATCCCAGCCTAATATAATCTGGTGGGCACACGAATTCAGCACAGCAAATTGTACAAAATGAAGAATACCAGCGATGAAAACACGAGCGGTGCACATAGCGGCAGGTCTAATGGCGTCCCCTTGAGCAGCGTGCAGTGTAGGTCCATCATAAGGGGTGGCGACTTTTCGTAGACGTGAGCACAAAGAACGATCAATCACAGACAAAGAGGCACCAGTGTCTATTAAAGCGTCCACGTACACACCTTCTATTAAAACAGCTATCGTATTATATGGACGCACTGGAGGAATTTCTGTCTTTTCGTTCGATGCAGCTTTTCCTCCAAAAGCTGCAGAGGTTAGTTTTCCGGGCGTTGGTTGGTGAATTGCGAGACAGGTCGCAATGGAGACGTGGAACGGCGGAGGGGTGAGGGTGAGCGGCGTCTAGTAGAGCGGTAGGAACTGGTTGGCTCAGGTGTCGCAGTTGGAGACGGTGAGCGGCGTAGCGGCGGATCATAAGGACGACGTTGGAAAGCGTACCAGCTTGTCCCATCATCCCGTCCGTAGGTGTCGAGTCCACGACGCTCGTCCTGCTGACGCTTCCGACAGACGCGTGCAATGTGGCCCCGATAGCCGCAGTAATAACAGATCGGACGATGCGGCCGACACGGTGGGTGAAGGGCTGGCTAGTCACACTCGGAGTTAACGAAGCCAGCGGGACAGGCGTCGAGTGTGCGGGCATCGGTTCTACCACGGGTGGTGAGCCAGCGAGGACTTGTGCGTACGTCGGTTGGAGTCGAGGTACTGGAGTGTCTACAAACGCTGGCCTGGTCATGGACGCCAACTCCTCTTTGATAACATCCCGCAAAACATTGTTGGAGGGGGGAGGTGGAGTCGGTGTCATTGAGAGGCCGAAAGATTGTAGCTCTTCCCGTATAAGCGCCCGGATCATGGCACGCAATGAGGCATCAGTCGTGGTAGTGTTTTCAGAGCTGTCCGGCGGTAACCGTTGGGATTCAAGTTCTTCCAGGCGTTGGCACGTGGCAACAACGTCAGCGACCGTAGTCGGGTTCTGAATGACCAAGGCATTGAACGCGACCGTGCCTATCCCTTTCAGTAGATGACGAACTCTCTCTGATTCAGACATGGACGTGCTGAAACGGTGACAGAGAGCAAGCACATCCTCTATGTACGATGTGTAGGACTCACCGCATTGTTGCTTGCGAGAATCCAGTGTCTTCTTCGCGAGAGCTGAACGAACCGCCGGGGTGCCGAAAATTTGGCGAAGCTGTTGCTTAAAACGCGTCCAGTCCGTAATGTCCGTTTCATGATTGAAAAACCATGTTTTCGCTACGCCCGTGAGGTAGAAAGAAACACGGCGAAGCTTGGTAGGATCATCCCAGTTGTTAGTGGAACTCGCTCGATTGAACTGGTCCAACCAATCTTCCACATCTTCACCTCGAAGTCCGGCGAACGTGGGCGGCTCACGCT